TTTTTTGTCTTTTTGAGACAAGGTCTTCCTATGCAGTTCAGGCGGGCCTTGAACTTACTTTATAGCCCAGGCTGGCCTCAGACTCGCAGCAATCCTCCTGCCTCAGCCTCCTAAGTGCTGGGATTACAGGCGTGCACCACCATGCCTGGCCTATGCCTGGCTTTATTTGGATAATTCTTTAGTTTTTCTTTATGGTTTATCTGAAATCTTACATAGTATATTCTTTTGTCTGCTTTTAATCTTATGGAAAATTTTTTCTGAGTTACTTTTTTTTCATTTAACATATTTTAGACCCATTCATGTATATGTGTATATATGCATTTATAATGTATAGTGTATGTCATATGTATATATTACATATAAATAGTGATTCATTGCTGAAGGACAGTTATATTTGAATATGCCACTAAATATTTTTCTATTCTGTTGTTGATGGTGATCCTTCCACCCATCAGTAATCCATGTCATTGAGCCATGCTCATACCCAAACTTTAGGCATGTTCTGTACTTGCACTCATCCATTTAGGATTCTCATGCAATCACATTGATTTAAATTCTATCAGTGTATGGTTTGCTGGGTACATAGTTACTAACAACATGTCTATTTGAATCAATGAGAATTAATAATTCAGTTCCTCTGGCAGCCAGGTCATTTTTAAAGACACGTATACCACATGGGACAGTGCAGATACAGAAGATAATTATCGTCACAAGAATTCAGTGAGAGCCCTAATTGATACTCTGATAACTACCAAATGTCTACCTAGCGAAAACCTCTCCTCTGAATTTCAGATTAGGTGATAAACTTCCTACTCAGCATTTCCTCTTGGATACTATGACTCTTAATCCTGATGTGTTTCTTTCATTGGATTAAGAAGTGCCTCATACATTAGTAAAGCATGCTTCTGGCTATATCTGGGTGGGTTACGGAGACATCATCTTGGATACGATATACGGCCCCTCACAATCTTCTCTGGCACTGTTACCCTGCTCTGCTTCCCAGCCACCATGAACTGAGCAGCTTTGCTCCTCCACACCCTTCCACCATGATATTTCTGCTTTGGAACCGGCCTATCATTGACTGGAACTGTGAGCCCAAATAAACCTCCTTTAAATTGTTAGTATTGGATATTTTGTTCCAGTGATGGGAGAATGACTAACTGGTACCAGAAAGTGGGGTTGTTGTATGACTGTGGTTCTGTAGTTTAGAAGCCTTTGCAAGAAGTTTGCTGGAGTTTGGAAAGGTTTGGAGATGTGGGCTAGAGAAGAAGCCTTAGAACACAGATGGCAAAGCCTGATGAATGAGTCTCATCAATGCTTGGAAGGCCAGAGTGCTGATAGGAAGGCAGACAGTAAAAGCCAGGCTCACTAAATTACATTCGGGAACAAGGACTCTGATGGCATTTGGACAAGAGGCCGATTGTGTTATACACTGGCAGAAAACTTTCCTACATTTTGGCTGTGTCCTGAGACTTTGCAAGAGGACTGAGGTTAAGGGCAGTAAGCTAATCAGGTGGAGGAAATTTCAAGACAGCCCAACATTCAGGCTGTGGCTGGGTACTTCTAGCTGCTTATTGTTAGATTTATAGTGAGACTCAGAGGCAAAAGCAGAGCAAAAAACTTTGGAAAACTTTTATTTTGGCCCAGAAGAAACCATGCATAAAATTGATACCAAAAGAGGTGTGACTGCTGAAGGGATTAGATTAGCAAAAAGAATCCTAGTACTTTGGACAGCAATAAGAAGATGCCTTGAGGGCATCTCAGAAATCAGCAAGACCCCACCCATTGCAAGACTCAAGGGTGCAAAGTGTCAACCTTTCCTTTGAGGAGATAGTCCAGAGACCCCAGCTGCTCAAGAAGAGCTTCTATGAAATTGATTTCCTCAGATTCATTTCACCATGCTCAGCCAGCCAAGCATTCAATGGCTGCTATAGCCATGATTGAAGGGGGCCTGGCTAGTGTTCCCGCTGACAGCAGACCTTGTCGTTGTCTATGTGATGCTGGTTGTACTGGCAATCAGAATGCAAGGGTTGTGAGGTCAGGGAGGCTTCCAGATTTCAAAGGAAGACCTGGAAGGTCAGGTGAAGAGCCTCCAAGAGTGCAGTGTATGAAGCAGTGAAGATCCTAGGAAGTTCTTGGAGTATTTGCTGAGGAAAGCTGAAGGGTATGAGTTGAACCAGCCCAAGAAAGAGGCTGTGTGGCCTGTTCCAGCAAGGCCATAGGAATGGGGCCACCCATGCCCTTTGGAAGTCATGTCTACCACCATTGCCCTAGATGCTAGACATACATAATGGTCTTGATGTTTGCCCTGTTGGGTTTTGGTCTTGGCTTTGGTGTGTTTTTTTTCTATCCACTGTACCTCCTTTTTGGAAAGGGAATGTTTACCCTGTGCCAGTGTACCTTGGGATTATGTAGTATGTTTTTGATTTTTACACAAGTTAACAG